CACCCTGTATTCACTGGTTAACTGGACATCATTAACTTCACGCAGACTCTCTCACTGGTACATTTTCATCTTTAAATCACTTCTTGGTCTGCTGCCTTCATACATCTCCTCCTACATGTCTCTGCGTGAGTGCAGCTACAGTGTGCGCTCTCAGGACATTATTACCTGCAGTGTTCCCTCAATGAGAACTGAACTAGGCAAAAGGGCCTTCTCCTATTCCGCTCCTGTTTCCTGGAATATCTTACAAAAAGATCTGAAGCTCTCGACCTTGACCTCTCTAAGTGGCTTTAAGAATCTGTTGGACTCCTGGCAGGGACCAATGCAGACATGTTCCTGTTTTTAGTTTTCTACATTTGCCTTAGAATCTAGCTGTTTTTTGTTTTTTTGTTTTGTTACCTTTTCTTTTTAGCCATCCTATTTGTTAAAAAAAAACAAAAAAAAAACCTGCAGTATGACTTTTTATAATTGTTTATTGTTGTTGCTGTTGTCCATTGTTGTCATCTTTCTTTGTTGAAATCAGGTCTCTCTTGTAAATGAGTCCTCGAGGCTCAATGGGATTTACCTGTCTAAATAAAGGTTGATTGATTTAGAGAGAGGCAGCAGCTATACCAGATGCGCCACCGTGCTGCCCGTCTTAACAATATCTCTCAGCATATTTTAAAAACGAGTTTTGGCAGAAGGTATTTGCTGAATTAACCCGGATGTTAGCTCAATTGTTTTTAGTCATTTTAAATGGATGTGCTGAAAAATGTGAAAATGAACAGCCATGTCTTTCTCTAAACTTCTTAAACTTTGTAAGATATTTTCAATATTGACTCATTCACACACATGATTGACTATTGGATCTGGAATTTATCCTAAACCTGGAGGGAGTGTTTTATTTTTTCTTCACCAACATTTTTAAATGATGCTGGTTCCCACCTTGATCAATCGTCTCAGTCTCTGCCTCTGACTTTGGTCGTCTGAGTAAAACAGACTTTGCCAGCATCAGACGATAAACCACCAACGTGGATCTGGAGCAGCACGTTGTTTGGCTGAATCAACAAGTGGAGGACACAGACACGGGACACTGTCGGGTGTCCAGGAGCAGCCAGAACAGGAACGTCTCAAACAAAACAAACACAAAAAGCCCGGCTTGTCCAACACGCAGATAAAAGGCACAGCCTCCTCCAAAGATCAAGATTGAATACTGGACTCTTTATGTTTTATTCCATTTTCCAGCTGCCTTTGTGAATGTGCAGCATTTCAGTTGGCACTGACTGCATTTTAAAAATCTTTCTTTTTTTTTTCTTTGTTTGTTTCCAGTTTCTTGAAGTGGTCATTGATAACTCGCTGCATGTTCAGAACACCAACACACTGGACGATGTGTACAGTAAATGTACACAAAGATATATATTTATACATTGTTGGAAACAGTGGGGCGACAGATGCATACAGACTGTTTCTTTCTCACACACTTTGACTCAGATGGATAGTCTGAGCTCTTCTGGCCGTCAAGAGATGGATGATGTAAACAAAACTTAAGGGCTCTTAGAAAGCGTGTCTCTCTTCTTGAACTTTATTGTCCCACGTCGTGGAGTGAAAATGGGGAATTGGAAAAACCCTCCATACGTCCGTTCATTTATATGTGCACGTGAGGGCAAAAACTTGAACAATAAGTGACGTGCTGACTACCTGTTGATTTATGGTTGCATTTAAGCAAAATAAATGTTTCTTTGGAAAATTGGATTGCCAAGCCAAAATCCAAGATGGCCATCTTGAATTTTGGCCACATGGATCATTTGATGAAACGATTTTTTCTAATTTTTATATTGCTTAAATTTATAGTTTTCTCAAATTATTGGGGTGTCCAAAAATTAATCAATGGTGGCCGAAGCCACCATTGGCCACCCCCTGGCTCCACCTCTGCACCTGGAGGTGGATAAAACTGCTCCCTCCATTCTTCAGGATCTGTCACTTTGGGTCTTCTCAAACAAGCAAAAGAGAAATAAAACCTCCCTCTGTTCTCCACAATGTAACTTCTACCCACGTGAATATCTCACAATAAAAACATTAAGGTTTACTTCATTCTCTGTTCAGTTCCAGTCCAGAAAAACATTCAGGTCTAAGACTATAAGCATTCACTGTTCAAATCCCAAGTTTCAGTGAAGGGGCCATCGTTGTACCGCTCGTTAACACGTTTAATCCATCGTGAATGCACGCATGTCATATAAAGACGTCTAATTACATCTTTACAATAGAATCATGATTTTGATTTAAATCAGTTGATATAAACCACTTTTGTCTGTTGATCCAGTGGCTCATTCCTCTGTTTTCAATGTTTTAGAGAAAGAACATCATATTTTGCACCTTGCATGAGATTTTTTGTCATCATGGAAGTGACGTAGAAAATGTTTTTGTCTTAAAACCTGTCGGTTGTTTAAACAATCAATGTCATGCAGCAGATCTGGCTCCCAAAGAGCTGCCTCGTCCTCCTAGTCTGACGCTTATTCACAAAGACCTTTTGAAGCTGAATGAGGGTTTTGATTTTTCTCTCTAGCCGTTCTTGGAATCCTCAGAATTTACGTCCCACTGGAGGCTCGTAAATTATGATTTTTGGAAAAGGTTTCAAAAGAAACTCTAAAGCTTTAAATGTGTTCTCTTTTAAAAAACGACTGAGTCAATAATACAAAATTTAAAAAAAGAATAAAAAAAGCTTATTAAAGCTTTAACCAAATTATTCAAGGTTCTTTCTTGTCAGTCACATCACATGTGGTACATGAGGTGGAACAGAATTATGTACAGGTCCCAGTTACATCCAACAAAAATACAAATTGTAAAGGAAAACAGTAGTAAGATCCAAGACATGAACTAAAATATGCTAAACTAATAATACACCAAGCACTAATATTACAAAACAATGCGCCAAACAGCAGCACGAACATGAGTCTGTGTGAGCAGAAGAGGATGAATGAATTATACAGGAGGTGAAATATTTTGTTTTTGTATTTGTTTTTATCTATGCTGTTTTTACGATTAAATCAAAGTTACGAGATGCCACTAGTTACTATTTTTATTTTGATTACTTTATTGATGGATTGTTTAATCATTTAATTGGTAATTACTACTGATTTTAAATAACAAATAATGTTTAATATTTTCCACCTCAGTCTATTTTTAAAAGCCAATCTATTACTAATACTAATACACATGTAAGACAGGCAGAATCATACGGATACAGTAATTTACAGATTATAGATCTGTACGCTGGTGAAGATTCTCATTCATCAGGACATGGTAAACTCAGAACAGTTCAAGACAAAAACAGCTGGACTTTATTTGTAACAGAAGACGTTTCACTTCTCATCCGAGGAGCTTTCTCAGTTTAAAGAACAGGGGGTGTGGGGTTCGACTTATAAAGCTGAGGTAAGATACATAAAGCTCCTCGGATGAGAAGCGAAACGTCTTCTGTTACGAATAAAGTCCAGTTGTTTTTGTATTGAATTTTTTTGAATAGATCTGTATAGATTTTGCATTTTAGTTAAATGCTGTTGCTTAAAACAATTGTCACCACCTTTTATTAAACATTACAGGTCTCTCTTGTAAGTGAGTCCCCGAGGCTCAATGGGATTAACCTGTATAAATAAGCGTTGAATGAATTACGCATCGCTCTTTTATTAATATAAACGCAGGAAGTGGTGCAGCTAGATGCTTCTGTTGCTTGCTGTACTGTAAATGTTTGTTAAATGTAAAGCTGTCCACAGTTTTTAATGTACCATTAGTTTTATGATGAATCGTTGTAAAAGTTCCGTTTTTTGGTCCCAGTGAAAGTAAACTTTCAACAAGAAAAGAAAAATAACCTCCCTCTGGATTATTGAGCATGGGCTTTGTTGGTTTTGAATCTCCCTCTGTTCTTCACAGCAGTGTAAGTTCCCCCCATTTAAATATACATTATCTTAAACCAAAAACATTTAGGTTTAGAAAACACTCATCTTGAAATGTCTTCACATCCCTATGTGACGGGGGACATCTGTGTACCTTTTTCCACATGATTCAACATAATTTTAAGCCTTGTTCAGATCAGTTGAGCCTTACCAACAGAACTATTGCCCCCGACAGAAACTCTGACCGATGAGCTGTACGATAAACTCCAAATCCAGCCGTTTCTCCTTCAACTTCATGGCTAAATAAAAGTAACACTCTGTCGGAGTGTTCAAGAGCCCAACTCTTCAGTGCTTTGGAGGTAAAAAACCACCTGAAGACTCAACTTCATTAGTTTCTCTGTTTGACTTCCCACATCACCTGAGTTTAAACCCTCGAGAGTCCATCAAAAACCTCTTCTTAATGTCCGCAAGATAAATGCAGCTTTACTGTTGTTTAGCAGCCACGCAGTGCAGCTGTCAGCCTGATTTATGTCCAGCTGTAAACCTTTTTAAAACACTAGGTCAAACGCGGTGTGCCAAAGCTGCTGTTTAGATTTCAGGAGGGACTCGCTGAAGTCTGTTTTGTCTCTGGTCGTTCCTCTGCTTGTCTCTCTGCAGACAGAAGATCCAGAGGCTCATTCATTACAGAAGATGGAGACTTAGAGCATTGTTTAAAGCAATGATATACAGATCCTTTGCAGGAAAGAACCCATCGGAGATGTGCATGCGGTTAGAAAGTACCGTATGTTCTTATTGTTTAGAAAGGTTTACAAACTGTACTTTGTGGAAGAAAAGGTGCTGCTGTCCAGCTCAGAGCTCGTTTTGATGTAAATTAGATTGTTGCTTTTGTCATGATTTACAAAGGGTCATCGATTGTCCATCAAGTTTTCGTTATGGGTTATTGAACTGGGATCCTAAAGCGGGAGTAGTTTGGCTGTTGCTTTGGTCCATTCAGCAGAGCAGGATTGTGTTCTCCACCGTGAATGGGACTTGCTATTTACGCCGCAAATGCTTCAAGATGAATCACTGGAAACAAACTGAGTTTTACATCATTTTCAATGCTTCTCTGTCTTACATGTTGTATTGTCTGTGTTGCAGGTGGTGAAGATGATGATCATTGTGGTGGTGACCTTTGCCCTCTGCTGGCTGCCGTACCACGTCTACTTCATTGTGACGGGTTTCAACAAGCGTCTGGTGAAGTGGAAGTACATCCAGCAGGTTTACCTGTCAGTGCTGTGGCTGGCCATGAGCTCCACCATGTACAACCCCATCATCTACTGCTGCCTCAACAGCAGGTGGGTACCATCAAGGTCTGTCCATCTTTACAACCAGTCGTACCAAACTTGTGTACTCTACATGGTGCGCCTGATCAACACGATGTCATGAACACTTGACTCTTATCACGTAGACCCCTCTTTGTTCCCAAAGTAACTCTGAGCATCCGTAAAGACAAAGAACGACTGGCTGTGACCTGAAACTTCTAGTGGGTGAGAAATCACCTGGACTCTGGGATGGAATAAAGTCTCCCATAATCAGAGCCCATGAGATCTACATGTCTATCTGTGGCATTGCATTAAGATACAGAATTTTTACCACTTTCATTTATTTTCTTTCTGCTGCAGTTTAAAATATCTGCATATTGCAGGAGATGATCCCAAATTGACATGTAGGTGCGGATCACTAATTGACAGTAACTTCTTTGCAGCATTTTATTTTATTTTTTATTTTACACAGAATTGCACAAAATAAGGGGGTGCACCTTTTCACATAAAACCTTTCAAGGTGCCTCAGATTAGGAACAAATCAAAACAGTGTTAGTTCAATAACACAGGGTTTGTATGTTCTCTCAGACGCAGGTGCTTCAGTTTCCTTCCCGCTGTCCAAAAACCTGAACGTCAGCCCAACTGGGGGTCCTAAAGTTTAAATTAACCCTCGGTGTGAGTGCGACTGGTTGTAAATGTGGATGTGACCCTGCACAGGATCAACTGGGTGAATGGATGTTTCTAATGTGTCTCTCTCATGTGTGATTGTTATTTTCTCTCATTCTCTTGCTGCGGCGCCAGATTTCGAGCTGGCTTCAAGCGTGCGTTCCGCTGGTGCCCCTTCATCAAGGTGTCCACCTACGACGAGCTGGAGTTGCGCTCCACGCGGCTGCACCCGACACGCCAGAGCAGCATGTACACGCTGACGCGGATGGATACCACTATGGTTGTAGTCTACGACCCCGCTGAGGGCAACGGCAGTGCTGGAGGGAGAAAGCACTCCTTGTCGTCCAGGAAGAGAAGCTACGTCACCTCCCGCCACACGGAGGTCACCGACTCCAACGACGGCGGAGCAAAAACACAAAACGGAGTGGCACCAAAGGCTGAGGTTGAGGAATTCTCTTAGAGTTTTATGAACTTGACCAAAGCACGAACAGTACACACAATAAGAAGTTACTCCGACTCACATTCAAATTATTTCCCTTCTTTTATTTTTTACCAAACCTGCAGCTCTGATTTATCATATTTGTCCATTTCCATGTGAGATTTCATTATTTTGGGGATTCTGTTGTGGTGAGACACATTAACGAGAAGGTTAATCAAAAAACACATAATTATGATTATGGCCATAAAACAATCCAGACTCTACAAAAATAATGGTGATCTGTGGTGCAGAGGACGGACCCTGCATCTGTTTGCCCCGTGGCCATGAACAAGAGTCATCAATGGAATCGCTGCTGACTGAACTCTATCTGGCCTCGTGTGCGGCTCCAAACAAGGTTTTCAGTGATGTAACTCTTATATGGAATATGTGGCGCAGGCTGGCAACAAGCCAACGGCAAAATCCAGGATTTATTTACGGCTCGTCAATAAAACGGGCTGCAGCAGAATCTCTGTGAAAGAACACTAACCAACCAGTCGACCTTTTACGTTTTCATTGAAGGAACACAAAAAAGTTCCACATTAAAGTGCAGGTTTTTTTTTCATAAAGCCAAAAGTAGATCAGTCATTTGTTTTGTTTTTACTCGATGTTGGTTCAGAGATGTTTGTTACATTGTAGCTGAATCGAGAGGAGAATTGTACCACACTGGACACAAAATACATTTGATATACTGTATTTATTTGTGTGTACTGTACAAAGTTTAGGGCTCCAAACAACAGGTCTTATTTTAAATAAGGTGATTTTATTTTATTTTATTTACATTTCTTTTCTCTGTCTCAGCTCTTAAACTTAGCAACCACTAAACATTTCATTATTTCTTGCTCGGTCAGCAAACGTCTGTTCATATTACACTTTTTTTTTCTAATTCCTCCCCAGAACTGACACAATCACCTCACAGGCAAAAATGGTAAATGGACTGTATTTATATAGCACCGTTCTATCTTATCAAGATACTCAAAGCACTTAACAACACAATCTGTGCCCTCATTGACCCGTTCATACAGCGCTCTACTAGATCTGTACAAAGAGGGGTTCTCAAACTTTTGGGGTTCAAGGGCCCCTCATAACCCTCATGTTTATTAAATAATTTTCTTCAGTTCGTCTCTTTAATGCAGTTTAAATATTTGTGTAACATAAATACTTATGGAGTATTTTTAATTCGAGACACAATTAACAACATTTTTAATTTCATCTTCCAAACATTACACTTTTGATAAAACTAACAACATTAAAAAACATTTTAAAACTTTACCTAGCCACATAATGAGCATAATAAATGTATCGCCACTTCTTCAAATTATTACAGTAAACTCTTCACATGAAACTGAACAGAATCACAACAGCAGTAGTCATACCAAGTAACGGGGTTTCATTTGTAAACCGACTGATGCCGTCACACAAATAGCGGGCGGGCCAGTGAGGGGGGGTGGGGGGGGTCTGGGGGATCCTTCCTCAGAAAATTTTGAATAAAGTAGATGTGATTTCCTATATTTGGGTGTATTTTAACGGGTTGTTAAATATCTTTTTTTTTTTTTCTTTTCTTTTCTTTTTTGCGGACCCCCAAGCATTGGCTCGCGGACCCCCGGGGATCCGGGGACCCCAGTTTGAGAACAACTGCATTAGAACATTCATACACCGATGGAACACACATCAGAGGCTATGAGGGGTTCAGTGTCTTGCCCAGGGACACTTCAACACGTGACTGCTGGTGGAATCGAACCCCCAGCTCTCCCATCAGAGGACAACTGCTCTAACCACTCAACCACAGCCGCCCCAAAAACAGCACTTTGTTGACATCCTTCGCTGTACAAAGCTTTATTATTATTATTATTATTATTATTATTATTATTATTATTATTATTATTATTATTATTATTATTATTATTA